AAATGACGAAAAATTAGGTGTCTAGTTACTTGTGACCACTCAGTGTATACATGCACACACATTTATAAAAACTCAAAATCTAGATACTTCTGTATTATAAGCATATTTATTCCTATGCAAATGACAAATAATCAATACAAGTCAAATATATATATATATAGTGTAACAACAGAATTTAGACATGGCCTAATCTTTATGAAGTATGAAAGGAGAGAAAAGCAATAGGAGTCAAGATTTTTAATTAACAATAAGATTTGATCCAAAAACCATGACAAGTAACACTTACAAAAAAATAAATAAATAAAAGAACAAATGAGAAATTCACAAGAATAGTATTGTAAATATACATCTACAAGTAAAATGATTACTGAAACACAAAGAATAAGTAGCAACATAATGCAACTACTTCAGAAGAAAAATAAAGATTAAAAACCAATGTGACTTGACTATACACAATCGGATTTCATTTTCCCAAGCTATTTACTCTTAAATAATAACATTTTACTCCATGCACTTGTGCCAAAGGTAACTGCATAAAGCAGAGATTTACAAACTGTCGTTTGTGAGCTCATTTCATGTGGTTCAAAAGGTTTCATAATTACAGAAACTAGCAGAAACACCACCCTACAAGCAGCTGTTTGTGCTAGTAATTACTAATCATAGCATTCATACCTCATTGAAAAAAAAATTTAGAAAAAGTGAACATTTTTTAAAAAGGATTTTTCTGGGAAGTACTGCATGGGGAAAATGTTCAGATTGTACTCTTTAGTCATATGCAAATAATTGCATCAAAATGATTCAATGTACAGAGCTCAAAATTTTCATAAATTTTTCTGATATAAAATGTAATGTTTTTGTATATTAAAAGTGATACCATTTATTGAAAAAAATAATAGTTTTTAAGAACTCCAGTTTCTCAGTACTACATTTAAAAATTACATCAATAAAGATATAATCAAACCCTCATGTTTAGTTCTAGTGAAAGTCATGTTCTTGTTGTGAGGAGAGTAGTTTTATTTCAAGTTGTGTTCTGTTATAAAGAAATGGTTGTTGCACATACCACAGTTATTTTTCTAATTGTCTGAATCTTGAATACCGAAAGTTTGAACTTTTTTATGGATTATTGTTTGTAATGCCATTCAATAGATGGCGCCACATTGTATTTTTTTATTTCGGTCACATTATAGATGCATATATACACACTACATCCATTATAATAAGATGGAGAGTTTGCAGATCTTGGAGCAAACCTGACACTTAAAAGTTCAGTCATATAAGCAGGAAGAATATATATAAATTAAGTGGAAAAGTGTAAAACTCTACATATGTCTGTTGAGTTAAAAGTTGGAAAATGTATTCTCTACTTGGGAGTTCTCCGCATTGTAAAATAATGACCTGCCTGCTGGTTTCTCAATGAAACAAAAGCACCTGTTAGAGCTTTTTTGTGACAGAATATTAAGGTCAGAGTTTAAAAGAAATCCACTGTTAGAATTTTAGTTTCCTTTTTTGTTGCTGAATTTTGCACAAACAGGGTCTCAAGCCATTTTGGGACCCAAAAATATAAGAAATTCCAAAATTAAAATGTAGGAAAAATAAAGGATATTTCAAGGCCTAAACCATTCCATACTACCTTTTTACCTTATTTATATAAGAAAAGTACAAATCATTACTTGAAATAATAATGCTACCTAATAATAACAACTGAACTCAATTCATACTTAGTCAAAAACTTTGTTAACTACAGTACTCTGTTGCAATCTGATTTTTAAGTTGAAATATTTTGTTAATCTATGTATATAATAGCCATATATCTTTCTGTGTCTGTCTGTCTGTCATGCTCTGTATCCACTGAACAGTTAATCGTAAAAAAAAAAAATATAAAAAAAACATTATATATCAAAATGCTTCTTTTCAAGAGTACATTACAGGAAAAGTATTCATTTCTTGCAATTTCTAAAATTTAATATTGATATCAACAATGATCTGTTAGTCTTCATACATGTATGCTGAATGGTCAATCACAGAAAAAAACTAGAGCACAATTTTTTTTTGTTAGGGAATTTTGTGAAAAAATACAAAACTTACTCCGTTGATTGATTTGAAAGTTAAAATTTTTAAACACAAGAATGTATTTCTGATAGATACCTCCTACTCACATCTAGCTTTCCCAATTCGGTGCTGCCTTCTATATGTGAAAGTTTTTGCTTACCATTAGCTTTAAGGTTCCCACCTAATCTCACGTGTTTCCATGTGAAATTGCTGTGTTATTGCATGCAAATTAGCATGCAACAACCCTCCTAGCTAAGCTGGCTCCCTCCATATTGATTGTTCAATTGTCACTTCGAGATTAGGTTAGAAAGTAAGAGTGGAGGTGAGTATCTAACAGAAATAAATTTTCAATGTTGGAAAATGTTTACTCCTGATAAAATAAGTAACCTCTTCCCACACCCTACACAAAACTATTTAAGGGTTACCTATTCTAGCCATCCCTAATTTAGATATAATAGTCCAGATGGATGGCAACTCAACTAGTCAATACTACCCACCACCAACTCTTCAGCTACTGTAATTAAATGGTAGGATTAACCATCACATTATAAGAGCCTCACAACTGAAAGTGCAAGCATGTTCAGTGACTTTAAACCTGTGACCCACAGAATAAGAGTCTAGCACCAATAACCACCAGACCATTTTGGATTCATAAGACTGGAGAATACTCAGTGGTTGTAGACAAAGCAGTTCATTTCCTGATGCCAATTGCTACTACTTACCCATGTTAAACATTATTTTCATCATTCGTGATCCTGTAATCCAAGTACAGCAGGATGAATGCTGAATCTGATTCAAGGCTAAAGATGGTGAACATTAAAATTAACATTAGAGTACTTTGCTCACAAAAACAAGTACAACTATCACATTAAAACACAGAAAGGTAAGTCTGTGGTTAATATTGATATTATAATGATTTTTCATCAGCATATTTTGTTAAATTATAATGTTTTTATTTGGTCTGCCAAGCCCCACCCCCAAGAAAACAGAAGAATAGAAAGTATAGTAAACTAGTCAAGAAGTTACACAACTTTCACCATCTTCCAAAATTAATGCAATCAGATTTTCAAGTTGGTTTTATATTCTCCAAACAGGAAATAGTCAAGTGGTTTTGGCTGTTCTTCAATATGTCCTACAACACTCATAACAGCCAGAGCACTTATGATTATATTTTGTGCTTTTAATTTTTTAGCAGTGCCCTTGTCTACCACACAATATCTGGTTATGTAGACATATTCTAAATTTTGCACCAATGAACAGTTTGGAAGTCAAAATGTAAGCTGATTGAACTGTCAAAACAAGATTTGAACAAAAATTTTAACTTCAAGATTAAGGGATTTTACTTAATTCATAATGCTATAAAGTCTTAAAACAGTTAATTCCCATAAGCTTGTAACTTGTAACATTGACTCTGTGGTTACTACTTATGTAGGGATATTTGTGTGGTTTTGTTTATTCATCCCTACCTTGTTTCTGTACTTTTTGGCATTGCCATTCCTATATCATCTTTATTTTTTCAAAAATTGTTTATTACTTGTTCCCCCCCCCCCTTTTAAACAATACCAATGCATACTTTATAATGAGTGGTAGTTGCTTTGAAGGCAGCAGTTTTAGCCTGGCATGATGAGATGTCTTGATTGACATCATGTGTTGGTTGAAGTTTGTGAAATGCTATGCTGCTTCTGCACTCCCCAAGTTGAAATGAAACATCTTGGTGTGTAAATCATCACAACAACTTCAAGTATTGGTGAGCTAGCCCTTCTGGTGCCAGAATCAGAATAATCAGCAGAACATTTGGTTGTTATGCTACTCACAAGTTCTCTAATTTTATGATGTTTTTTTGGCTAAACTGAAGGTCTTAGTAGCTTTTGAAAAACCAAAAAAAAAAAGTTAAGATGTTTATAAAAGTCTCTTAGATTGTTATAAGAGAGACTTGAGACTATAATGAGTAATACATAATATGCATTGGCCATTTCTTACCTGACCCATCCCTACACATTAAGCAATACCGTGCTTAGTGATACTCTCAGAGGAGGTGCAACAAAGAACTCTCTACCTTACACAACACAAATCCCTCCTTCTCCCTCCAACAAGAAACAAAACATACCTCTTAGTAACAATGAGCCAGCTTCAGAAAGGAAAATTAATTTCATGCTAATAGCATTTTTGTACTCTAGTTCAAACAGACATAGTTAATAGAAGTACCTGCACATGAAACTGTAAGATACAAATGATTCTGCAAGTTAGCCATTAATACTTTGTATTCTTTCATATAAATAATGATTTAAATGCTACTGATTCACAATGATAAGTAGCAAAAACACAATCAGTAAAACTTATTCTTTGAATGACAGAATAACTACTTTATCCAGATGCTGATTTAGCACCCACCTATATGTTCAGCAGTTCATCTTAACATAAACTGACTGAACAACTCTTTCACTTCATGATAGATTTCAATTAAATTCCTGCAGAAGTTATGAGAAATTTTGGACTTTTGTCAAAATTTAAATATTCTCAGAGTGCTTTTTCAAACCATACAATTATTTCTATCAGTTATATAAATGAACAAATTGTTTCTTCATTTTTTATAATTTGTAGTTAATAACTTAGCATTCATAATTTTGACCACACTTTTATTGACAGCATGCATGGTTGAGCATCTAAAACTTGGGTCTAAAAGTAGTGCAATCCTAGATGACTATATTTAAAACAAAACTTTAAATAATGATGTATGGGGTATTTTATCTACAAGTGATGTTTAACTCAAATGTATATTTTCTATTCTCTTCAATATGTTTTTTAATTATTGAAAGAAAAAAGATATGAAAGTGTTATGCCAATTTCTTAAAATTTTATTTAAGATAAAACAGAGGAAAAGTTTAGAAAATATACAATATATTACCAAATTAATCTGGGTATCCTTGAATGTTAAACTAATAATTCAAACATAACTTACATTTTGATAAAAACATTTCACTTGATCAAAACTGAAGAGCCAAGCACAGGATAGCTCTACAGCTCTCAACCTAGTCAACTTAATTATGATTAGAATTATTAAACAAAAAGCTATCTAAGTTTCCCTTTTTCCCAAGTTTTTGGATTAAATATGTTAACAATATTTTTACTGATTTTTATGCTTTTTCTTGTTTATTGTTTTCCTTTTTCATTTAAACAATGCTGGGCAATACAAAAAGTAACTTCACAAATAATGAAATATATCAAATACAGCTGAAAGTAATGACTGGTAACATAAATGATGGACTGAAATTTTAAAACAAAATCTCAATTTACAGGTTAAGTGTACAAAAACTTCTAGCCTCATAACAGCTAAGTGTCCTGTATTTATGCAGGTATTAAACATATTCTAGAAAATGAAATTCATAGTAAACATACCCTTTTACGTGATGTGTTGGAAGACAAAATGGAAGGTTATAATAACCATTTATTATAAAAATACCAGGTTGTTTCACCGAAGAAAACTTTCCCCAGGATCTTTTTCAAAAGTTAGGCAGGATAAAAACTACTGATCAACAATTTTACAATCAAAATTACTTATATAAGGTTGTTACATTAACCTATTGGCACATTAAATATGTAATTTAACCCTTATCAAATATAATAAAGTTGGAACTAATAACAAATTGACTTTCATTTTTAAGTGTCCATATTCTGTACAATTCTGCCCCAAATTATGTACGTCCAGTGTATTTTTTTTATGGAAACACACAGGTGATACAAACCCAGGAGTCACAAATAATAAATAATTTGAACTAAATAGTCAATTTATCATTACTTCTTCGACATTTGCAGTATCTCTACTGGATTCTCGTGTATCATGTATAGAAAATACCCCGAGTTACTTAACATAACTTTTGAAGTGTTTGGGCTTTCTTCCTCGACTTATATTGTCAACAGCACTAGTTTTACTTATCCTCGTCAGTTTCCCTGTAGCTCCTATTGATACATGAAATTTTGCCTCAATCTGTTACATGTATAGCCTTCACCGGCCAAAACCTTGACTTCTACACATTTGTCATGTGAAATTTCTGTTCAGTGAGCCATAAGTGCATTCACCATACCAGTATTGGGAAAAGTATGATTATCCATACTTTTATAGGCATTTTGTTGGTGTAGCACTGTCTGATAGTTACTATGAAACTATCAATATGTGACTGTAATCTGGTGTAGTTCATTTCTGTACCACATATAAATGGGGAGAAATCCCATTGTTATTGTATGTTATTCACTGCTTCCATAATTATTTCTAATACTGTATACATATGTGTATGTATACAGAAATAGAGAAAGGGCCACACAAACATCATATTTTTATAAGTTTTAATTCAATATTATGCTTTTATGCCATTCATTCATTCCAAATCAATGGGGAAAATCCATGATAGAAATTTCTCTCTGCTATTAACTGTGATCAGCTATCCTTGGCAGCTCTATTCACTTCATTCTAACTTACAATTTGTTCACCTCAATTTATTTCTTTATATTTATGTTTAGAATAGCTTAAACCTCACTTGTACTTTTCAAGTATAATTCTATATGCTTTAGAAATTATGTATTTCATATTATTAATTTGTTATTCCAATATTCTAATTTTCTTTTCACTCACACCAAAAATTCCATACTGGACTCCTGGCATGAACAAGTAAATATGCAGGAGAATGATAATCATGATAAAATGCCAGGCTAATGAAGCACAAAGGCTTTGACATGGGACAGAAAAAGGCTTTTAAATTTTTTTAGAAACTTTCAGAGTTAACATTTTTTACTGCAACATTTTCCTTCATTTCTGATAAACACAGATAAGCTTACCATCCATTTTCTATGGCTAATTAAGAACATTTATTTCTCACAGGGTTGATCACTGTTAGAAGAATATTCAATCCTTAGTTTGATATTAATCTAACATACTGATAAAAAAACATTACTGCAAACATTTTGCATATAAATTTCAAAACTTAAAAATAACTAGAGGGGCATTCAGTAGAGCACATACCTCCACCATGCTGCGTTGATCATATTTGGCTCTCAAAAAATATGAAAATATGTCTGTATGTCCATTGTTATCAACAGACAAAAAATTTTTGGCAGGACAATAAGGAATAACCTTCTACACATGTACACCAAATTTTATTAAAATCCTATCATTTTTGAGCTATTGAGCAAAAATAGTGTGAAAAATTAGTCCCCATGCTAACAGATAGATTTTTGATTTTCGTGACCTTGATCTTTGACCCTCGAAAAACTAATCACTTCTAAGTTCGGTCATAGTCCAAGTGCAAACCAGCTTTCATCCAAATCTATTCAGCCATTTTTGAGAATTCTTGCTGACAAACACATACAGAGTGGTGAAAACATAATCTCTGTCACCTTCAATGACAGAGCTAATAATTCTAACACTATTTTAACAATTTTTAACTCAGAAATATTTAAGAATTGATGTTTTGTAACAATTATTTAGTGTAAATTGCAAAGAAAAATTATTCCAAATCTCATTAATGTGTTGCTCCAAGGTGTCTTGTGTATAAACAACACACTGATTAATTGAAAAAATTTCTGCCCATTACAAGGTAAGAAACTATCATTCCTTGTGAACATAATTATCCATGTGTACTTTCTAATGTGATGTTCCTTCCTTGTTAGCAGTTTTATTACTATAGCCCTTTGTTCCCACCCTTTGATGTTACAGCATGAGGTCTAAATAATCATTAATGAAGCACAGCTTTGGAAATAACTTCAGATAATATTTGAAAATGAATGGAAAGAGTATGTTATAAATTTATGGTTTCATGACTACCAAGAATGCTTCTATAGATAAAACACAGGAATGTATTGGGAAGTTTAGAAACAAACCATAGACCTGAGAATTTTTTATTTTCTTGACAAAAATAATTACCTAATTGAAATCAGTGTTCTGATTATTTGATTAGTTGAATATAATTAATTAATGAGCTTGATGATTAAATGATAAGCAAATTCCACTAATGGTTCTAGTAATGGGTGTCTGACAAAATTAAGTAAACATTTGTGTACTCTTAAAAACATCAAATTATCTAAAATTTCCAAAACACCAGCTAACGTTCCTCCAAAACTGAGTTTAGTTTTTTTACTTAATTCTTGTAATACTGTAAGGGCAGTAAATAGATATGTTTCTTAGAGAAGGCTTTAAATTAAGTTCAAATGAATAACAGAGAAAGTTAATTGATAAATATGTTTAATTTAAAAAAAATCCTTCCAAAAATTTAGCCTAGCCTAAAGCATCTGTGAACTTGTTTTCTGTAAAGTGTTGACAAACTAAAATGAACAAATTGAATGTTTAAAGTTTTTATGGGTTTGATATCAGCTTTAAGCTTTTCAAAATACAATGCTTGACTTAGTTACAAGACTCCTGGTATGATTTATCTAATGATGTGTTTGTGCAATTAGAATGAAATATTTTATTTTTGTAGAATAAGTATATATAGACATGAATAGCCGCATTTGGTAGGTAAGGGTTTGCTTCAAATTAGCATTCCATTACATTGCTCTTTCATATGTTCTTAATATAGCTAAGCTAGGGCTCACAAACTACACAAGTTAGAATATACTACATAATGGAATATTTTTATATATATATATTATACACATTTTTCCACTATGAGGACTTCTGTTGTTACACTTAACTGTAACAGGAAAAGATAAAATACTTATAATACCTCCTCCTCCTCCTCTCAAAGATTTCTTGGCAGCATTCACAATGGCATCTATTTCAAGAGCAGTGATATCACCAATGAACAAGGAAATCTTTTTGTTTATACCATGTTGAACAAGACCAGATGAAGTATCTAATAAAAAAAAGCATTTGAATAAACCAAGTTGATTAGTATGCTTATTTATGTATGTGTTGTTACAAGTATAATCTAATCAAAAACCTCTTAAGTGTGAAAAAAAGTGCAGCCAAAAAAAGGTTTGAGCATACAACTTAAAGGAATGAAATGAAAATTGGCAGCCAAACTGGTAGTTACACTTATAGCATTGATAAGAAATTTAGAGCAAATATTCTTTCATTAGTTAGCCAGGCAACATTTTTTGTTCAGTTTAAGGAATAATGGTGAGTAAAATGATGATTTTGCCAAAGATATTACATAAGGGATAGAAATAAGTTCTGTAAGGGTCAATAACAAAGTGGCCTTTGGTTACAATCTGATAGAAAATGTGTTTTATAGCAAAGCCACATCAGGCTATCTGCTATGTCCACCGAGGGGAAATGAATCCCTGATTCCAGCATTGCAAATCCATAGACTTACTGCTGTCCCACAGGTGGACCAGTCTGATGGAATAGTCCACTTGTTGATGGAAGGTCCCACTTGTACCAATTGAATTAAAGAGAAACTTTTAAAAGAAGATCTGTTAAACTTCTTGAATAAGTTGGAGAAATACTAAAAATTGTGTATATAATTCCGTTTTTCTGACTCAAAATCTGATGTTGCTCCGGAAAATTGTTCTGACTCTAGAATATGGAAGATGGCAGTAATTCAGAATCTACAAGAAGTTTGTCGCACAAACTCCTTGTAAGTATGCTATTTCGAATCTAGTCTAACAGTATTTCACTTAAGGTTCAATAATGTAAAATGAGAGAAAAGTGAAGAAGACTAACTGTACTAAAGAAATAGTAGATTTGATAAAGCTTATAATGGAACTACTGAACAATATCTTAGAAGAATTGTTAATGCAGTTATACAGATTATGATGGATAGAATTTCATGTGTTAATTTAGTTGAAGTTGTGTCTATGCGACTGAACATAATAGAAGGCCTTATTAATGAACACCTAGATCTTCAAAATGAAGAATTGAATGATTTAGAATGTAACAAATATGTTGTTATGTATTTATTTTAATATGAACGTTGCTTAGATCAAGTTTATATTTAGAAACATACATAGTTTATATTGTTAGATAGATATTGCGAAACTCTCGTCTATTCTCCAAAGTTGTAGAAGATTCTCGAGAGTAAGAATCAACAATATATGCATATTCGTAAACGTTTAAAATGTAAGTTGCATTGTTACACAAGACTGAACTTTCTAGAATTCCTCCACGCAGGTATAAATATAACCAACGCAATGCACCAAAAAGAGTGCATCTATTATTAGTTCGCTATATATCGCTGTGCTATAAAACTTCAAAAGCTATAACTGTGATTGTTATAACAGTTATCAATCGGAAAACTTAAGATATCTGACCAGGAATATTTATAAATTTCGAACGTTACAAATCATTTAACTTCAGTGGATTCTCATTTTACGAAGACATATAAATTCATCGTGGAAAACCTAGTGTGTGTGGCCAACGACAAAGCTACCTAGCTTCCCAGCGGATTGTCTCTACATCAATTCATAATCAACTTGCTCATCGTGAACCCTAGATAAGATATCAGGGAGGTTACAGACTAGAAAGAAAACTCTATATTGTTTGTAACTTTGTGAAACTTCTGTTTATAAATCATTGTTTGTAGTAACAATTTGTAATAATTGTTATTGTAAGTTATACTGTTGTATGTATATATATATTCAAATGTATTTGTGTTAAAAACAAAAACAGTGGGTATCAATCTTGTTGGCAAATATTGTAAATTGACTAATATATCTGCATATATTTAAATACTAAATCCAAAGAACAGTTTAACTACTAAATTTAAATTATCGGCTTCGGACTATTCGAAATTCTAATACATAACAAGAATTAGTGTTGTTTCAAGATAACCTTGAATGTTTCGATATAGATGAAATGCTCAACAGTGTATAAATAAAGAAGTTATTTGATTTGTATTCAATTGTCTTTGTGCGAGTTCTTTATTTCACACATAAGCTTCCTCAAGTTGGTGACCTGTGTACTCCACTTGCAACTGCACAACCCAAAATCCAAATAAAGTTTTTGTAAGGAGTGTAAAGTCCAACCCAATGACTAAACCCATGGGCTGCCCACATGCCCATTACACTTTGCACATGTGGCTTATATTTAGACTACATTTAACAATTAATTGTAGGTTTTAAAGATCTATCAGTGTATCATATTTGAAAAACAAAATCCATAAAAGTTCAATATGTTTTTCTATCAAATAAAGTTTCCATATTGTGGTGAAAGAGAGAAAAAAAAAGGAAGAAATTAAATCAAAATTGGAGGTTATATATCTTGTGTTTTCTTCAAATTTGGTATGTGAAACAAGAGTCCAGTAGGGCACATTTGTTTGCTGAGAGAAGATCCAGGAAGAGCTGTGAACATACTATTCAATATTAAAGCCTGTGCCCTATGTTTGCAGTACACCAGAACTCACAAGTAGTAACTGCCTGCTTGTATTATTGATGATGGTCAGACTTGCCTAGATGCTGAAATAACTGCACCTTGTTTTGATAGCAGTTCCAATTTTTGCTAATGAAACTATGGGATAATTATACTTGTCATAAGACATTACTATTAAGCTTATTACATTTTTAAATACTACATTCTTAACCTAGTCCCATAGGAATTTTCAAGAATTAGAAGTGTGTATAATAATAGTATTCCAGTCATGCTATATTTGTCATATCTATTGCCAACAATATATTTTGCTCAATCCGGAGGTCTTTACAATAGCCTGGATAGACCAAACACAGCAGTGATCAGAATACTATTTACATAAGCCACTTCATACAAAAACAACTGTATGCCTTTTACAAACCAATGAAGAAAGATTACAATTTTACTTGTCAAAAGACATTAGTATTATGCCTATTATAGTGTAGCATTTAAAAATGTAATACACCTAATACTAATGTCTTATAACAAGTGAAATAGTAATCACTCTTTGCCAGCTTGTAAAAGGCATAAACAGTTGTTGTTATGAGACAATTAGTTCCAATTTGCAACAATTTTTTTGTAACTGGTGGCTTCCAATAGCACAATGGCTTTGCACATGAAGAGACATCCTGAAATTTTTGCTGAAGTTTAGTTATGGTTCAAAGTGACAACTGTGACATGATTGTATGATAATACTATTTATATATAGTACAGATTGAATCACTAACAATTTGCATTTCAGATCATATGACTGATCATCAGATGTTTCATTTTCACAGCAATAAACAGAGATGGATATTGACACAAGTGGATTTTGCCTTTGTCATAGCTGTTGTATTACAAATTTCTATTGTTTTTTTCATACTTCTAAATGTTCTTTTGAATAAAAAAGCAAAAATCCAGAAACTTTCCCACATTAGTAGATACTTTCATGTATAAATTTCAGGCTATCTGCGTGTAGCAAAACTTAATATTTGATTATTATTATTATTATGTACATACCACTATCCTTCTGTAAGCATTTGTTTTTGTAGTAATCAGGCCATGATGGAACATCACCCAATGTGACATACTTGGAACACTTATAGTGGAGTCTCTTTTCATTCAAAGGCATCTTCAAATATTTTTCTGAAAATTAGAAACCACCAAACATTTAGTCAAATGAATATTGGCGATACTAATAATTAAAGTAAAAATCTTAGAAAAACAATAGACTACTGTATATGATTAACAAAAACTATTAGTAATAGGTTGTAACAAATAATTGTTAACATGGTATCCATTTTTTTAATGGAACAAAGCAGTTAATTTATTTAGTCTAATAATTTGACCTTGGGGACATCTTTAACATTTAATACATGTATCTAATCCTCAGTCTCAGATGTTGCTTGAAATTTAGCATTTTATAACTCTATTGGGTGTAGGAGTGTGTGGTAGGCCTTTTCAGTGTCTCAGCAACTCTTGTATGTAATCATATCAAACTTATTACATGACACATGTAATTGGGGTACATGTATGTTATAGTAAAATTCAAGTAATTTCTCAAACTACAAAGTACAGGAAAAGACTGTATAGTGTAATTATTAGACTATAAAAGATAACATCATCTACAACTTCCTCTTAGTTATATATACAATGTTTCAGTATTAAAATAATATACAATTTTAAACTATTCAGGTACAACTCTATAATTAGTCAAGATACAAAAAATGTCAATATAAAAAGTTTACAAACCAGTGATTAAATTGCTATTTTCTAAATCACAAAGTTGATTCATAGAACTTAACCTTACTGGTAATAAAACACTTCACTGAAATTAAAATATGAATGCTTGTATCACATGACATTCATATGTATGGTGCATTGCACCATACATATTTTGCACTTTTAATTACTAATGTTATCATTTTAATACTGGAAAACACTTACATTGAAATTTGACTTAAAAAGTGAGTCATACATGATCAGCTACAAGTATCACTATTATTGATTGGCATAGACATGTTAGAATATAAAATTTAAGATACTGAGTAAGCTTTACATGATGTAACAACTTCACACACTTGTCAGTTTGACCCTAAATGGTCAGTTTGACCCTGCTGTTAATTGTTGGCCATTATGCAGTTGTGTGAAACCACATTAACAAATATGCATACAAATTCTTGCATGTATAAGTACCCATTCTGAGATTAATAACAAGTACACTTTTTCAGATCACGATGGACTAGTAAGTTCCCTTATTAATATAAATATTGCTTTATACTGCTATCTGAGAACTTACATACCTGTGGTTAACACACAAACTACTGACTTGTTTTTATAAAATGGTAAAAACCCTATAACCCAAGCACTTTTTGAAAGGTAGATGTTTCTTCTTCTTTTTTCTAAATATAATTAGAACTATCTAATTTCAATTACAAATTTGAAACGTTTGCCATCAATCATTTTTATTTTCATATCAATCAAATTACTAGAAATAAAGATACAAGCTTTGAAATCATTGGATTATAACCCAACTGAATTACTCAATGATTTTGTAGACTTCCTAACTGATTTTATTACTAAAGTTACTGGTACAGTGTAGTTATAAGTAATAATAATAAAAAAACAAAAAAAAAACAGCTTGAACATTTCTATATTTTTTCACATTTTGAAAAATACTTTTATTTTCAGCAATGAAAGAAGTATTCAGCTAACTTATACATAGTGTAAGCCTACAGTGGAAACTGGTCAGTTGTTAAATATTTTATTGTTGTTTTTAGGGTGATTAAGTTTATTACCTTTATATAGAAATCTGTTGTCTTAGTGTCCCAAAGTAGTAATACAAATATTTTCATCAACAAAAATTCAGTAGTTTTAGTACAGTAGTCTTGTCAAAGTTTGTAGGAGAAACTTGTAGAACACTATTAATAGTATTACTTTCAAGTCGTTACATGTTTTGTACTATTTTGCATGGATGACACACTTTCATGTACAACACTTTAGAATGAACAAAGTAACTTATTTCTAAATTATTGTACCTGAAGATAGGACCAACTTACTCTAACTTTTCATTTATTTTTGCCACAAATTTTTGGACATTTTTATATGTTAATTCTAAGAATTTAAATAATTTTAACCCTAAAATATTTTAAAAGTTAATATTTTCCTACACTGAAAATACATTTCCAATAGATACTTACCTTCTTTTACAGTTACAGCTATCCTGCACACTAGTGCATATATTTTTGCTTGGCACTAGCCTTGAAACTCCTACCTAATTCCACATGATTGAGCTGTGTTTAAGCATGCAACAGTCCTCCATCAGCAAGAGTGCAATAAACCCTATTATCACAGCTGACTCCTCTATGCAGTTGAAACAAATCTACACTTCCAGATTAGGCAAGAAAAATGACACTGGAAATGGAGAGGACGGTGGGAAGTGTGAGCGGAGAAATATATTTCAGTTTAGGAAAACATCAACTTCTGATAAGATTATTTACCTCCACTTACAGTTACAACTAGAATCCCACATTGAGCAGGTGGAAAATTGGTGTAAAATTGCCTAGATGAGCACCCTTCAAAAGCATCTGAAGATCACCCATGGAGTGAGCTCTCTCTATAGAGAGGAAACACATATGTGGGAGACACACCACATCTGAACCAGGTATATTCTTCTCTCATGTGGAGCTAACAGGTGTGGTGTCACAATCAAAGGGCAGAACAAGGTAACAATTCCAAATCCATAAGGAAGAAGAATGGCTAGGGTATGTTGGACCATAAGCGTAGCATCAACTCCAGTCCAGACCAGTAGCTCTGGGAGGAAATTGACCAGTCCAAGGTAGTAGAAGGGTCCTCAACCATTCACTTCAGGTCTAGGAACCAGAAGGGAAGAAGAGCCTCTGTTCCAAGAACCTAAACCACCATGTTCAGAACAATCTGCAGCAATAAACCCCAGGAATGTACATCCAGACAGCATCAGGAAATTGGAAATGCAAGGTGGAGGGTCAATTCCAGTCCAAAACTGATCGGCATAGGTATGGAACATCCAGTCTGCAGTAGACGGAAGTTCCCAGCCCACTCACACGTGAGGATTTATTTTGGCTGGTCCAGCTACAACCAAAACCAGTTGCTCAGGAACCAACATCCAGACAACGATAGCAGGGAGGTTTCCCAGCAGGAGGGGCAAACTGCAAAATAGATGGAAAAATCCAGTCTAGACTGGCAGCATCTTGAATAAAACATCAGAACTGCAGCAAGAAGGACAGTGACAGCTTCTACACAGGCAGAATGCCACCATCCTACTCTTAACTGAGTGAAACTGTGCACACTCAGGAGGGTTCCTCCATCATCCACCACACCAGCAGTTACGAGGTGGTAAGTGGTAAGGACTCCTATACTCCACTGGAAGAAGGGGGAAAGAAACACATTGGAGAGTCCAGAGGAACACGTCACAGGATAAAGAGCAATGGGTAATCATGAAATCCTATTTTGAGAAGCAGACTACTTCCAATCCCAGCAGTCTACAGTTTAAGATCGGCATTAGTCTTTTTCTGCTTTACTCATGTTAGTCCACAAGTGTATGGTCCAGTACAAACATATTTAAGACGCAATATACTAGGAGGAAGAACCTGCAAGCAGACTTGTGGAACACCCCCTCTAAACAATGAGTGTGATAAACTTTACAGATGTCACAGTGCAGATTTAGGCCCCTGAAAAAAAAAACTTATTCAATCAGAATTATCCCGATGTATGAAGAACACCTACAGGGGGAAGACAATATCCGGCTTAGCAGGAAATTGCCAGATGGTGCAAGTAATGCAACACAAAGGTGTGGGGAGTGGTCCACATGCTAGCCTAGATAATATTCTCCAGAGAACAATAGGAATATACAGCCAAAGACATTGGGAGGTGATGGATTTGATAGGGCAAACCACAGAATAATTGACAAGATTCAGGAGAAAGGGTGAGAGAACCATAGAAGGGTGCTGTGCGTGACATGTTGTAACACAGTAAAGTATGAACTGGACACAAAAGACAATCAAAATCAAAGCAGGAGGAAATATGGGATATGGAAGGAAGGGAAAAATGGGTGGAGGTGAAATATGCTTCATGGGCAGATGATATTTTGGGAAAGAAGTAATGTTCGGGATATAAAAGGACATAGGTTTTGTAGTAAAAAATGTGGTGAACATCAATGGTGAACAAGTCAGACCAGTGATATCCGCAAGGCAAAATGAGAAGGAAATGCATCTTCAAGTAGAGGCTAGCAGTTCGAAAGGAAAGGGCATGGAGGACAACATTTAGATTCCAGTCTGGAAATTGAGTGGTAAGAGGAGGGTGATGGATATGCATAGAATGAAATAAAAGGGAAATAACTGAAGAGGAAAACATATGGCAAAAATGAGAAAAATGAAAGGCAGATAACAGGGCTGCGTTAATACCTGCAATGGTTGAAATGACAGACCCATGTAAAAAATCTGATATCAGAGGAAGGGAAGACCAACAGTGGAATATTCTCCATTCACATTGATATACAGACATGGATGAGAAATGGACAGAGTGAGACAACAGGGACACTACACTTGTGGATAGGACCAAACCCCTTGCTAGGTACAGAACAAAAGCCATGCATGAAGCCAGAGTGTAGGAAGGGGGTGGGGGATGAAGCACCCCTGAGTGAGATTGCCAGAGGAGGGACTGAGAGAGAGGTAGAAGTAATCAAGGTAGTTCCTGGAGAATGGACAGGAACAGAAACCACAGTTAAGCCAGCCAGCAAGGAGGCACAAGAAGGACTTGACTTGGAGTGAATTGCATGATAGAAATTACTTGGGTTAGAAGACAGATGAGAGGGTATATATAAAGGAAAAGGGTCCAAAGCCAAAAGATATGGAATTGGGGACCAAAAAATGAATTTTGGCATTCAAATGAGTGGCAAATGCATACAGCTGGGGAGTATCCAACTGAGAACATAGCAATCAGAATACCTGGGGTCAAGATGGGACAGACGAACCACAACAAGATTGAGGGCACCTGGTATGTGACAAGTCAGCAAATGAATTTGATAGCTGTGAGTCCAGAAGAGGAATTCTAGAGTGTGGGAACATACATAACAAGGATTGAATGCCCCTTTTCAGGTGATGTAAGAC